CATTTGAATTTTAGGTGTGCGTCAGGCAGCCTTATCAGTGGCGCATGAGATGCGATGACGATGTAGGTGTCATTGCATTTTAATGCTTTTGTTAGCCTATCCAGTTGAACCCACTGGATGCGGCGCTGCTACGTTGTTTATTCAAAATATTGCGGAAAAAGAGAGCATCAGTGCAGAGATGTTGTTTACGTCAAAACTGAAACCAAGCCGTTCACACAGAACGCATATTTATCGCATTTTCTAGAGGGACGTCTATCACCGTTGCACTCGCGTCTCCCACGAAAGAGCCGCATGTTTAGAAAGCCATGTAAAATTAACGTAAGTTCAACTTTTTCAAAGTCTCGAGACTTTAGGGCGGTTTTCCCCATCCCACTGCATCTCATGTTTTTTTATTAAAAAGTACTCTTTGTGATTGGTTTTCAGTCCTTTGTATTAAACTATACATACATGCATGATGCTGTTTTGTTTCTAATTGTTTAAGTAATTTAATTAATTATATATGATTTATAAACATTAATTTAAACATTATGCACTTTTTTCCAAAGGTAGTAGTGTTATTTTATTGCTTTGAAGAAATGTGCATTAGTAATATTTTGCTGAAGGCGCCCTCTTGTGGTATCAAGAGAGAAACCAAAAGCTTTTTTTCCACCTATATGAAATTATGCCTTTTAAATTTTAATATTGATAATATTTAAGTACAAAATTCTAATTTAGTTTTTCAGCCATTTTGACAGCCCCACTCTAATATAATGATTTGATGGTCAAGAAACATTTCTGATTATTATCCGTGTTGAAAACAGATTTATATTTTTGTGGAAACTGTGATATATTTTTATTTTCAGGATTCTCTGATGAATAGAAAATACATTTATTTGAGACAGAAATCTTATGTAACATTATAATGGTCTTTAGTATTAATTTCTTTCAAATAATTCTTACTGACCCCAGACTCCTAAACGATAGTGTTACGCTTCTGCTACTCGAAAATGTCTCGCCCCATTGTAAGTACACTTATACCTTTTTGTCATAGACGTCCTGCCAGTGCTGCGTAGTGAAGAAACTGTGTCTCATGATTTCCTTTGCATCATCCGGGCCTCCTCCGAGCCTTCAGAGAATAAACCGCAGAATAATATTCACTCAGGTCTCACACGATACACAAACAGTTTTAATCTGGTGCTCTCATACTGAAATGATGATGATGTCAATAGTTGTTAGTAGAAACAAACACACCCAGAAAGGCTTTGGATCCCACATTCACACACCGACCTCTTATTGGGGTCTTTGATGAGTAATCCAGACAGTAAAGACTTGGCGTCTGCAGAGAGGGTTCTGGGAAACTTTATCTCCTCCATCAGAATCAGTTCAAACAGCTTCTCATGGTCCTGAAGACAGTACGGAAATGTAGGTCACAAAAGATTTATATTTCAAAATCATGCTGTTCTTTTGAACTTTCTATTCATCAGTGAATACTAAAAAAAATGTATTACAGCAAATCAGCATATTAGAATGATTTCTGAAGAATCACGTGACACTGAAGCCTGGAGTAATGATGCTGAAAACTCAGCTTTGATCAGAAATAAATTATACTTTAACGTATATTCACAAAGAAAACAGTTATTTTAAATTGTAATAATATTTCACAATATTACTGTTTATACTGTATTTTTGATCAAATAAATGCAGCTTTGGTGAGCAAAAGAGGCTTTTAAATGCATTTTAAAAATCCTACAGATGAAATGTTTATTATAGTGTTAGAGCGAGTCATACCTGATTATAAAAGGGAAGGCGTCCACACATCATCTCATACATAACGACTCCCAGACCCCACCAGTCCACCGCTCTCCCGTAATCATTGTCCTCCAATACCTGATCAATAAAACCAGTGCACACAGATACCTGATCAATCATACCAAAACTACAACACATTGTGCTCATCAATAACGTCACATCATTCTCAAACGCCTGATCAATAACCAATACATCACTCACCTGCACACCTTCATCAAGAGACGCAGCAATAAGTCATTCTAATTTCACCTCCAACAAATGCTATACCCAATAACACTTGATTAACAATCAAATATCATTATTTTATAATACCTTACATAAACCTCATCAATATCTTCCAGTTCTTCATTAATAATTATATTAGTCTCTAATCATCAAGCAAAAATCATATTAATATTATCCAATTCCACATCAATTATATTAGTCTCTAATAATCAAACACAATCACACGACTATCCTCCAATTCTTCATTAAGAACTATATTGGTCTCCAATAACAGATCAAAAAAACATATTAATATTATCCAATTCCACATCAATTATATTAGCCTCTAATAATCAAACAAAATCACACGAATATCCTCCAATTCTTCATTAAGAACTATATTAGTCTCCAATAACAGATCAAAAAAACATATTAATATTATCCAATTCCTCATCAATTATATTAGCCTCTAATAATCAAACATAATCACATGAATGTCTTCCAATTCTTTATTAATAATTATATTAGCCTCCGATATCCTATCAAAAATCACAAAAATATCTCCCAATTCATTAATTATATTAGTCTCTAATAAGAGATTAAAAATCACATGAATATCTTCCAATTATTTATTAATAATTATATTAGCATCCAATATCCTATCAAAAAAAACTAAATCACAAAAATATAAATTCATTAATAATTATATTAAGTCTCTAATAATCAATAATAACATTTTTTTTTAAATCACATGAATATCCTCCAATCCTTCATTAATAACTATATTAGTCTCCAATAACAGATCAAAAATCATATTAATATTATCCAATTCCACATCAATTATATTAGCCTCTAATAATCAAACAAAATCACATGAATGTCTTCCAATTCTTTATTAATAATTATATTAGCCTCCGATATCCTATCAAAAATCACAAAAATATCTCCCAATTCATTAATAAGTATATTAGTCTCTAATAAGAGATTAAAAAAAATAAAAAAATCACATGAATATCCTCCAATTATTTATTAATAATTATATTAGCATCCAATATCCTATCAAAAAAATAAATAAATCTCCCAATTCATTAATGATTATATTAGTCTCTAATAATCAAAATATTAAAAAAAATCACATGAATATCTCTAATAATTCTATTAGTCTCTAAAGGTCCTGCACAAAGTCCAAAAAGAAATAAATACAACCTCACATTGTGTCAATCACGTTTACACACTGCCTCCGAAACTTTTGTCCGTCATAAAAAAAATTGGATCAGGTTCGATTTTCTGCGTTTTCGCATCCATAGCAAGCAGTGTGATAGGAAAGGATGACGAATATGAAAAAAACAAACAAAAAAACGAACACACGCATATGAAAATCAAGGACCTTAAAAATCAATCAAAATCACATACCCTCTAATTCTTCATTAACAATAATATTATCCTCCATTAACTGATCACAAACCACCACCAATATCTTCCCATTCTTCATCAATAATGCCATTATCCTCCAATACCTGCTCAAAAAATATGGACATGATCATTCTCTGACAGCTGAGTTATTATCCTCAGATACCTGACGGCTGATCCAGAAACAATTATATTATCTCTCAAAACCTGATCAATAATGTCAAATTGTCTCTGAGTGCTTGATTAATTACTACTGGGAGTCATTTGCAGGCTTTCCTCCAATATCAACACCAATAATCAATCATTATTGCAGCATCAGTAGATGCAACCTGGATAAATGACTCCAACGATGGAAAAACAGCCTGACATATGATTCCATCACACAGTTATGATCATGACATCAGCACGAGTCGTCGGCGTTACAGCATCCATATGCAACACCACGGTTGATTATACATGCTGTACTTTATGTGATTATTAAAATGGAACTTAAACAGCCAGCGGGTCACTGTTAAGTTCCCTCTATTTTTACCCGTGAGCTGCTCAGTCTTGTCTTGTCTACAGCCTGCTGTTTGTGTCTATTTCTGTGCGGACGCTAGCTAAAGTGTGACCCTGTTCCGGCTGTGACAGACGGAGATTAAACAGTCCTCTATATTAAACTGAACCCAGCGTGTGTGCGTTTAAAGAGATAAAACATCCCGTACCTCAGGGGCCAGATACTCCGGGGTCCCGCAGAACGTT